TGGCTGTGTAAATCTGAGACTAGTGCAACATTCCGAATCTTTAATCGTGCCACTGTGCATCACCCTCCGGCTACGAGATGCCAAACGTGGACCACAACCAACTTTAGCTCCCATGCCACCCAGTCGTAGATCACAAATTCAGCTTAATTCAAATTCAAAATTCAAAATTTTAAATAATGGCGCGAGAATGCGATATAAATATGCGTCTGATTACATTGAAGTATCTAATTCATAATCTGCTACCATTATTGCTACCATTACCGCTAATATGCTAGGCGTCAACAGCGTAGCTGCCACCCTACGTTCTATCCTGCCTCCTAATGGCAACATAAGTAATGAGTTATCCACTGCCCTAATGTCCCTTGGGTCGTCTATCGACCAAATCCGTAACAAGCAAGATTCCATGGCTAAGGATATTGAGCTAGTAAGGAAGCTGGCGCGTTCAAATTGGCTACTAGTAAGCTATCAATACGCATATATCTATTAATTGATAATGACTTTTCAGATAATAAATTTACCGCTGCCTTTCGGCGTCAGTAAGATCCAGGCGGTACAGAACCTATTTTCATCGTTAGGTTACACGAAACCGCTTTTTGATGCCGATAGGGACCTTTTGGCCACGGATTTAATTTACGTTAACAAAAATGGTCTTTTGTGTAACATGTCGGTTAGTATTTGCTGTAAGTGTATGCTTTAGTCAAAAGTAATATCCAAAAATTTTCAGATTTTTGTCGCACAGCGACATTACGATTATGTCATGTCGGCACCTTTTCAAAAGGCCATCATGGACCACAACAGATCCCTGGGCAGAGGTATGTCCATTTTGGCAAAAGGTTCAAGAAAGGTTCGAAAAAGGATCAAAAAGGATATTCCAAAAACTATGTACCAAAAGTTTGCAGGTGCGAAAGTACTGTCCAAAGCTATGTAGACCCAAGAAAGCCGTAAACTAGTATTAATTCTAACAAAGCCGTAAACTAGTTGTTAACTCTAACAAAGTGGCCTACTCGTTATTAGAATCTAATAACCAAAAC